TCAGTCAATGTGACCCTTGAGAGCGGAGCTAAGATTTCAGGAGGGAACCTGTCCGGCGAATATGACACCGTGCGATTCCACTTCCACTGGGGCAACGGCTCCTCTGTCCCCGGCTCAGAGCACACGGTGGATGGAAAGCGCTATCCTATGGAGGCACAGATTTTTTTTCATTTTGTATTGATGATATTGACATTTCTTTTTGCTAATAAAATTTTAATATTGATATTAAAAACAAGAAAAAATCCAACTAAATAACTTAATTTTCCCAGTTGCATATTGTGAACACCAAGCTAATGTACAATCGGAGTGTATCTGAAGCTGCTGAATATCCCACCGGAATTGCTGCACTTGGTTTCTTTATTGAGGTGAGAGAAGCAGCAAACAAGTTTTTATAATGCCTGCTGTCTACTTCAGATATAGCTGTTATGTCTTAGAGATAATTATTATGTATTACAACGTCACTATATCTTTGAGGTGTTTTTCCGTGTTGGTCTATTTTAAACTATGAGGTGGGGAAAACAACACAATCAATACACATTTTTTTTCCAGGTAATGTCAGGCAACTCAACTGGTCAGCCGGAAAGCTGGCGCAATTTGACCTCTTACTTGGCCAACATCACAGAAAAAGGTAACATTTTTGAAAAAAAAACTCCTCTCCTGTTTCTGGCTCGAAATCGTCTCATTAATAGTTCCTTCATGTCGGCCTTGTTTCTGTCCTCAGGCAACAAAGTTTCGTTTAATTCGACTGCAGCTGGGTTTTCCCTGAAAGACCTGCTTGGCAATGTGTCTCTCTCTAAGTATTACCGCTACCTTGGATCTTTGACGACCCCCCCTTGTAAGGAGGCGGTGGTCTGGACCGTTTTTAAGGAACCAATTAAAGTCAGCAAAGATCTGGTAGGTGTTATTTCATTTCTTCCTTGTGTCTCCTAATTATCATTGCTGCAAGCACATAAACACTGTTAGTGGTTCATGGAGCTAACTGGAAACAAAAAAATGTCTCACTACCAGATTGACCTCTTCAGCACCACACTGCACTTCAACGACAGCACATCACAACTCATGACAAACGTCTACAGAAGTGTACAAAACCAAAGAGATAGAACAGTCTGGACTCAGAGGAGCAACAGTTCTGCCTCCACAACCTGCTTCTCCCTGGGTCTGCTGCTCCTCAGCCTTACACTGGGCTCGAGTTGGAGCTAAAATAGAAAGAGGACATCATCAGCAACTTTGCTGATCAACCTGTTGCCTCACTTCAGCACATGCATTCTTTCCCCATTTAATTAAAACTGAGCTTCGCTGATTTCTAATGTAGCTCTTTATGTTTGACATAATCATAAAAAGTGTGAAAAGTAATTTATGAAGGTGAAGGCTTCCTCTGCTCCCATATTATTTCTGCTATTTCTTGATTATGGCTACCTGCTACAAAGAACTTGCCTGTTGTTACATATCAGTCTAGTTTACTTTAAGCAATGACATGCACAAGTTTTCATTTTGCCTCCATCAGTGCAGCTACTAATGCATTTAAAGTGCACTGGTAGCTAAAACCACAAAATGGAAAATGAAAACCTGATGACTCATTTATGAAGTTCATGTTATGAAGGCTTTGTGTGTTACTTTCTTAGATGAACAAAATTATTTATCAGGGATGCATATTCTTTATGTCTTTAATACTGTACTGTATTGCATGAAATGAAGAAAACTGTGACCTTCCTGATCTTATTAAATGACAATTAAAATTATTTATCACTCTTTCTTGAGTTTTACTGTCTTTTTTAAATTCTTGGGGGTTTCTGGGACTTTTAAAATGATACATAGCTCTTTCATAAGCTCTGCATTTGCTACCCTTAATTAGTGGAAGCCATCTGAGCCTTTGAGAGCTTGCTATTCTAGTTCTGAAAACACAAAAGTCCCCAGTTTTATTCTCTGTTGGTTCAAAACTTGTGAAGCCGCCAAGTAAGGACATTCTGTACTTAAGTAGAAGTACAAATACAACTGTTAAAAAGTATTTCAGCAAAAGTTGAAGTACTGTTTCAACTTCTTGAATCAAGTAGAAGTAAAAAAATGTACAGGCTCCGAAATGTACTCAAAGTAACTAAAAAGCTCTTTGGAGGATGTTTCTGTTTTTGTGTCTTATATTAACACAATTATAAAATAACTTTAGTCTAACCGTTTTTTATTCTAATTGTGCCCAGCTCAGATCTGAAGAGATAAAAAGGGAAATAAAAATACTCTATTTTCTGTTGCCTACATTGTAGAGGATGTCTTTGAATCTAAGCAGAAAAATTGGTACATTTAGAGGTTAAAGTGGATTCAGCAGGTGGGGGAACTCTAAAATCAGTTGTAGTGGCTCAGTGTGGGTAAAAGAATCACAACTCACAATAATTTCTATTGAGCACTACAGTAGATTTTCCTGATGTACATGCTTTGATCAGCTGACCTTTGTGGATTTACACAACTAAATTGTACCACCTCAACTGCACACTTTTCACGAGTTGTCCTGGCTGATTTCCATTGCCCACACTGACTGTATGCATTTCTAGACTCTAGAAAGTTGATACAAAGGTTGAATTCAGTCACTGGATCTAATCAGGCTACTAGCATCAGCTAAATTTATACAAATCTCTGCTACCCTTTATGTAACCTGAATGACCATGAGCAATACAGCCACTGATAGCAGTCCCACACACTGTTCTTTACTTTAACCTCTTAGGACCTGGCATCCACACATGTGGACATCACATTTTGGGTTATTTAGACCAAAATACTTAATTTTGCTCTACAAGGGCCTGATATCCACTTACGAGGACATTATACTGCTACTGTTCTATTGAAAATTTAAAAATATCCTCATATATGGCTCTCATTTTTCTTAGAAACAAAAATTAGGTAAAAAAAAAAATCTGGTAATTCTTTGTTTTTACATTCATCAGGTCCCAATCAGCCCAAATATCAAAGAGAAATTAAAAATGCATGCCGTGGAAGAGTTTGGGTCTTAGGAGGTTAAATCCATTGCCGTACAGCAAACTAACCTGTTTATCCTGCACTGACCTGCAGAGTAGTTTCACACAACCTGATAGGGTGACCTAAAAAGTTGGACTCAGACGCAGGCTTCCAATGCTCAGTGAATTTATGTACAGTAAATGTCTGGCAGTACAGTGTTTATGCTGTCTTTTTGATTTTGTAAAATGGTGTGAAGGTGGAATTCAGTCAATGGATCTCAGCATCATCAGCTACAATGTATATGAATCTCTGCTACACATGTAACCTCTCTGATCATCAAATCGCAGCTGCTGTGCGCCAGTCACACACTGTTCTTTACTTTAAACCATCACAGTACAGCAGGCTAACCTGTTTGTCCTGCACCAACCTGCAAAGGTTTTTTTATGCAGTTTCTAAATAAGACTGTTAGTTTACCTCAGTTGTATTTGCAGCAAGTTTCACAATTTAAAGAAAAATATAATGTCGCATGTACAGATCCAATATCTGATTTAAAAACACGAGAACTTACATGTGAGCTTTCCATTTCCAGTTTATCAAATACTACTGAGCACTCGTCTTCCTCGGACCCCCGTCTCTTACTCCGACTCTCACCTGCCTTCTCAGTTCCTCCATTCATGATGGTAAAGAACAACGCAGACGTGGCACCTTCGAAGGCCTCCATACTGATTGCTAAGTGAAGACTTGTGTAAAGGAGTGTCAAACAGGTGCTACAGTGATTTCATTCTGGTAGTTTTAAATAGTTAGGAATAGGTGATCCCTCAGCAACAGTCTGTGAGAATTTACTGTTATTTGACCTTGTCCTAATTTTCACTCCCTACAAAAACAACTCTCATCTCATGTGAATCTATAACTGTCTATTCTCTTTTATTCTGAGTGCTCAGTAGTGCAATTAACTATTAAAGTGATCTAAAATATATTACACTCCATACCATTTACCAGCAAAGGTATTGTAACCCAAACTTTTCTAGTCTACTACTAACTTAGTAGTAAGTCTACTAACTTTTCTTAAATTAGTAGTCTTAATAGTTTTTGTTTGGTTTAAAATTATATTCAGATACAAGTCTTGTTGTGAAAGCCAAATTTATCACATCTATGAACCAGATTATGGGCCTGCTAAATGTTGAAAATCTAGGTTGGTTTTAAAGATGGGGAAAAAAGTAATTATCTTGTGCTTCTAAATAAACAAGTTAAATTCTATATCCACAATCAGAATCAGAAACATTTTGGGGTAGTCTGTGATAAACAATGCCACATGCTTTATCTGGTCAGTGCTTATTAGAAATTGTAATGCCAAATACAGAAATAAAAATGTCACAATACCACACATTTAGAAAACCATTTAGACATAGTGGTGGATTTTAAATCGCTAATTTTATTAACAAGTACTATATGTGTTAGTGTAATTTGGTTGTATGACAAGTATATTGACTTTCTGTGTTATAAGTTCAAATCAAAGGATCAAGTCAGCTAATAAACAATTTTCTGTTTTTTTTCTCCCTCTACTTGCTTTTTTAGTTTGTTTGATGCTCAGACCAGCACCCAAAATACATAAAACTCTTACATGTCTAGAAAAGGAGCTTTTGGAAAGAAAGACATCAACTAAGTGGTAAGTATTTTGATTTGCCAAAATATTAGTAATCTTCAGTGTCATTTATGTTAATCATGCTAAACTTTAATCATACTTTAGACCTTAACTTCTCGCTTTATTTGTGTGCTGGCTTTACTGATCTTTCCCTTTCTTCTGTTTTTGGACTTGAGATATGACTGCTCTATGCTGTTGCTGCTCCAGTACATTCTGCGAGA